GTAGCTCCCGAAGTTGAGTTTTATGAAAGTTCTCAATTACACTATAGAGGTACGAGACTAGGTATACAAACGGATGCAAAGTGTAGATTTTGTGAAAAGAATAAAGAGTCAGCCACACAGGTGTTGTTAGAATGCGCTAAGGCACATACGGAATAGGCTTCTGGGAATGTATATGCTTACGGAAGAGGTTACGAAAAACTCTGTAAAGTAGGTTCTGTACTACTTTTTATTAACGCAATAGGGATTAGAGATCTACTTTAAATCCAAAATGGGGAACAACAGACTCGACGGGCGTTGTACCACATTTCCTAATAATAATAATAATAATACTGTGGAAGTGCAAACTAGTGTATGGCGTGCCAAAATCGCCATATTGTCATTTTGATAAGCGTGATCAGTATCTATAAATTTAATAGAATCATACGAGAGGTTACTAGCATTTTCCATTTTCCTTCTGTTGAGTCATCATTGATTTAATGAAAACCCAATTAAAACCTTAAGTCTATTTTTGAAAGCATTAACTTATAACCTGTCTGAAAATGCGATATAACGAATCGAACACATGTCTGGAAATTCCAAGTAGTGCTTGAAAAATGAAAATTTTAAATTAAAATAACCCTTGTCTGCATGTTTCAGCGTCGTCCATTTTCGGCATTTGCCAGCATAAAACAAAAATTCTGCACTCAACGCAATATTAAACGGTTAAAGCAGAAAAGTACTGTTAATATGAAAATGGAGGCTTGTCAGCCGTGCTAAGCCTGTCTGCAGTTGCCTTTACGTGACGCTTAGAGCTGATGGACTGGGAATTTAGCGTGCCCAAGTCAACATCAATTTTTTTCTTAGAATTTAATTTTTTTTCAATTTACGTTGTTTTTGGGCATTTTCGGCTTTTTGGGGGCAAACATCATACAATTTGCATTAGGTTTCATATTGGATTTTGTATGGAAAGAATGCATGAATGTATCGACTGTTGTGTATCCGCAGTAATACTCGCACAACAACGGCAACAACTATAGAGGCAATTACAATAACAGTAAGGGTCGTTTAGATCCCTCAGTCGAGTCGAAATAAAAACATATTTAATTAGAATTTAGTTTCCTTTGATTGCAATGAAGCTACATACCGGCAGCAAGTACGTGTATGTCTGGATTTCGCTGCTTTGCTGGTTATTCATTTCGCACGAAGCGACAAACAGAACAGAAAGCAAAAAAATTCTAAGCGTCGTCTCAGACATTTTGGCCTTTCTATCAAGGTCAATGTGCGCCAATGTCAGTAACCTTCAAATTCATATTTCAGGGGTAAATTTTGCGACGCAATTTGTTTTGTTTGAATTTTGTTTGCTTAAGTTTTCTGATTACGTCTGTTGTTGGTTTTGTTGCTGTTGTTGTTGTTGGTTATATTGTCAATTTATGTTGTTGTTGTTGCTGTTGTTGTTGTACGCTTTCGGAAAATATGTGCGAAATTTAATGAAAGTGAATAAACTTTAGCAGGCGAAGATGGATGGATTGATGCTACTCTAGATTCTCACTCACTCTGTTTGCCATTAAAAGAAGTGATTTGCGTAGTTAATTCTGGTAATAAGCTTAGGAGGATTTGATTTTACTTACTAATTTTATTCCAAACTTAATTAATGGAACTAAATGAGAATATATATTGCACCGACGAACTTTGTAATTCATTATTTCAGGTTATATATAAAGAAGTATCTTCTGTTATAAAAGTTCGTCTATGTTTAAAATTATGACTTCATGTACTAAGTAAATGAAGTTTTTGAAAAATATTGCTTTTTATAACAATGCAATAAAAATATTAAACATCTTTTAAAATATATTTCGGATTATATATATGAGTATATATAATCTAATAAAAATATTTAAAAAATTTTTTGAAACTACAAAACCAGTAAATAACATATATTATTCAGTTATTTTGCATGAGCACTAAATTTATAAATTTATAAATTAAATAAATTTAATTTATTCATTTATCGATATTATCTGACCGGATTCACCGAAACTTTATGCACAAGACCTTATTGGATTAGTTCTGCAATTGAAACTTAATTTGCATATTCATAGGTAGATGAAACAACCAATTAGCAAACTAATTGTATAACATAGATATCAATTATATGGAATATATATGGAATATAAAAAATAGTTTAGAATATATAGAAAGAGCTAAATCAAGAAAATATTTTGAAATAATATATATATGCGTAAAATAATTATAATAGCTACGGCTTTATCTATATACAAGTTGTTTCGAGTAAAGGAATATCATCTCTGCTCATAATAAAGCGACATACTGTGAGATTGAGGGAATCCTAGACATTAGTTTCATTCGCATACCTATATAAAATATTGCATTATCATTTAACCGTGAGAAAAGTTTGTTGGTTTGTTCTCGTTAGATCCTTCATCGTTTGACAAAATCTCATAAAGATGATCGTGTCAATACAAATACAATAGTGGTTCTGCAAAAGACCTATATAAGATTGTAACAGATGACTTATCATGAATATATGCGTATGAACCCGAATGTAAACAGCAGTCGACTG